GACAAAGCTCAACCCCCACACGCACAAATAGGCGAGTACATTCACTCATACACACCCCACTCCTCCCCATCTGTTGTTGTTATAGATTCTGCTAATCGGAACAAATTCCAAGTAGCACGGGCTATGGTGAGCCCGTAACTTACCTGGCACAGGAGCGGGGCAAGTAGCACGGGCTATGGTACAAGGGCCTCCCCATCCATAACCCATACCTGTATACTAACTTATACCCGGGAATTCTCTTCTACCCTCACTGTCACTCAAGTCGCCAACCTTCCTTCAGGTGATCTAGTTTACCGTCTATACTGAGGAAAAATCTGAGAATATTCCCTAAGCTTCCCATCTTGTTTTCTGTATTAATTTTCCCACATTCTTTAATCTTTTTTTTACTACCAATAGAATTTTTCCTTCAATCTTCTTCAAATTCTATCTATTTTATTTCCCCTTTCATATATTTTTAAATGCATTTTTCTTTTTACTTTTTTCCCTCTTCATGATAATAAAATCTTGTTGATAACCAACCACACAACTAAACATAGAGAAAATGACATGCACCTTATTGACATGACATTGACATGACATGACATGACATGACATTGAAAATGACATGCATCCTTCTGCACCATTATCACATAAAGAGTGGTTGATGATTGATGAAGAGTAAGGTGGCATGGGCTTGCGTAGCCAGTGAGAAGAAAGTGTGTTGTTGTTTTAGATTCAGCTTCTTGTAACAAAAAGTTCCAAGTAGCACTGGCTATGGTGAGCCCGTAGTGGACTTACCTGGCACAAGAGCGGGGCTGTAACTTGAAAGAAAGTGTGATTGATTGATTGATTGATGAAGATTAAGCCATTCAAAAGGTGGCATGGACATGAATAACCCGTAAGAAGAAAGTGTGATGGAGAACGTCAAAATATATAAGGAAAGAATGTGAGGTGAAAGGGAGAAGAATGTAAGAAGTATACCATAGGAGTTAATAGGCATGAGGGTTAATGCAGAAGGCCTAATGACGAAGAGGTTGAGAAGAGAGAGAGAAAGTGAGTGGGTGAGTGTGTGAGTGAATCTTGAGTTTCATCAATATTTACTAACCTATCCTCAATAAAGATAGAACTTGAGCCCGTTCTCTTCATTTGCCAGTCCGTAAAAAAAAATCAATCTTTCAGCCTATCCAAAAGTCTACGAACTTACAGCAACCCACCAAACCTAACCGGTATTTTTCTTAATAGGTTACCTTTGTAACATAGGTCGCGTTTTCTTCGTTATCGTAACCAATTAGTTGAGAAAACGCGTCAAGTGCTTATTGTAACTATTTGTTCAAACATTCAACAGTGAGCTGTTACAGCCAACACTGTTCATGTTTTGAACTAGAAATGTTGTAGAGGGTATGGACAAAATAAGCCCAAAACGAAAATTAAACATTCCAAGGCCTATAGTAAAGTATATATATGTACTATATATACCTATACATGCCTAAACCTATAGGCTTAGGATTTCTCGGACAGATTAGGTTAGATTGTTTTTAGTTTTCTTAGAATGCCATTTGGGTTCATTCAGTAATACAACGTAAACTTTATTTGGTCCTTAATCTATTTTTTCTTCATCTCTCCTAGACCCCTTCCCACTTTTCCCCCCTCATTTCCCGTCGTCCCCTGCTCTCTCCCCCACCATGGTGTAGTCATACCCTGCTTGGGCTGTAAACTCCAAGGGAAAATTCCCCAACCACACCATCTCTGACGTCAGGAAAAACAGAGAGGAATCTTTACTAGGAAGTATATGATTAGAAGTAAGCTGAGGAAAAGTGAGGTCGAGGCGGCGGGGAAGAGGAAGAAGTAGAGAGGGGTAAGAGAAAGATGATAAGAGTACGTGGACCTTGACTGTGTGTGGGGGCGAAGAGACGTAGTAGAAAAATAAAGGAAATGAGTTCCCAGGGAGGTACACGGAAGTATATACATGAAGTACAGGTGACAAACTTTTTTAATTTACACAATCACGAGGCTAGTAACTGGGAACGTCACTTTGTGTCTCAGGCTACAAACACTTACTGATGTTAAAAAAACAACAACAAAGATATTCTTAAGTTTTGTGCTTGCAGGATCTGGCTCACAGCTGCAGACCCTCTCTCTTGAGAGACAAGTCACGATAGACAATTAAGGAGTCGACCTGTCCTCAGGGAGTTGATCCGCTCAAGGGAATGAATTGCGAATGACTACATAATTACTGTTATCTACTCCTTATCCTTGGTTAGGTTAGGTTAAGGATGCTTGATGTTAAGGTGTGGTTAGACACGGCTTTAATATTGTTGTATTAACAACAGATTCCTTCTTCTTTAGAGTTAAGAACTTATCCTAATCCGTCATCGTTACTCTTACCACTTAGGTCAGTGAACATTTGCCAATCCCAGACATGTAGATTTAATAGTCAAAATATAATTTCATTAACAGCTGGAGAAGTTAATATACTCACCTAGATATACTCGACTAAATGTACTCACCTAGATGTTCTGACAGGGTCGAGCTAGGCTCCTAGCCCCATCTTCTGAATGTTCTTAGATTAATTGAATAACTCATTCAACATTCACAGCTGAATGGACAGCGCTTGGGGATCGCAGTCCTTAGGGCTCCGGGTTCGATTCCCGGATGAGGCAGAAACAAATGGGTAGAATTTCTTTCACCTGATGCCGATGTTCATCTAGTAGTAAATAGGTACCAGGTAGTTATAGCTGCTACGGGCTGCATCCCTAGAATGTGTGTGCGTGTGAGAGAGTTAGAGAGACATGTAGTAGATATGATACGATATTGTAAATTGTAGAGGAAAATAGGTCGGTAGTCAATGCATTAGAAAGGCGGGGTCCAAGAGCTAACAGCTCGATTCTGCAGGCACAAATAGTAAACACACACCCACACACATTCGCTGGGATTATGAGGTCATTTACTTAAGAATTTGTGTGCTTTGCTGATAAAATACGATGAGGCGGGGGAATGTCCCGACCCGGTTTATGGAATTTCAAGTTTTTTGGGGGCATTTTTTTTATGATGTGGTATTGCCAGGTCCTGACGGAGGCCAGGCGGATGACCCTAGTGTTCCGGTGTTCCCACGGGGCTTTCCCCTCCTGCATCTACGGGAGTCTCAGACCAACAACGGCAGGGAGCATTATTCTTTCTATTTATATACCTTCTTCAGTTACCTTACACCACATTATATAAACAAATCTACAAGGGCCGTGATGAGGATTCGAACCTGCGTCCGGGAGCATCCTAGACACTGCCTTAATCATTTTGTTCATTTGATGCATCACGTTAGTGTGATTTCTGTGTGTAACCACATTATATACTCATGCGCTCTCACAATATGATCTCCCCCCAACCACCCCTTGTTTTACAAACCCCGACCACCCCCTCTTTTATGAAACTACTAGAGTACGACTTAATCAAACCAGAAATGCTCTACAAATCAAGGGGCCCAGAATGTGGAATGACCTTCCCAACCATGTTAAAGAAAGTACCTCTCTCAACCAGTTTAAGTTAAAAACGAAGCTATACCTAATAAATTCCCTGTAACCTACCTTACCCCTCTATTGTCAACCCATGTATGTTTTTTGTTTTTTTTGTTTTTCAAATCAACGCTGTTTTAATGTAATTTTCTGTAATAATTTGTAATTGTATTTGTGCTGTTTTTTCAACAATGTTCCCCCCTCTTTTACCTCTATTTTTATTTGTACTCAACGCATTTTTTTCTTTTTACCCATTAGTTTTAAGCTTTAGTCAGTAGTGTTTTTTCCTGCCCGAAACGCTTTGCGTAATAGTGGCTTTAGGCATTGTATGTACTAGCTCTATCTATAAAGCCAACAAACTTTGTAAAATCTCTTTATGTATGTACCTTTGCCTAAATAAAAATTATTATTATTATTATTATTATAAACCCCATCCCCCCAAAAATATGAAATCTCGCGTCCTGTGTATAATACCCGCACCTCAATACATAAAGATTTTATTAGTGTTTTCATCGCTCCTCCACTTTGCCCTCGAGTAATTTTGCACATTCTCCCATGCCTCCTGGTCCCGTAAGGTATTATAAAGTCGTGCAGATTTAGAACCAGCGCCTCCTATAATATTTTCAAGATTTAGATTATCATGCCTCTCGCTTACGCTCCGGGGAATAGTGTTTCAGACATTTTAGGCGTTCCCAATAATTTAGTTGTTTGAGTAGATTCAGATATTACATGTTCTCGGTACGTTCTCAGGATCAACAACGGTTGCATCCTTGAGTGATGTAACTGATGTGGAATAGTATTATACCTAATAAAAAGTGTTAAATGTCTTAAAAAGTAGTATCATTGGCCTGGGATTTCATTGTCTGGAAACAAGTTCTTATCAAACCCGTCAATGACGGAAAATCAAGCGAATTCTAATAAAAAACACATTTGCTTTTCATCATTTGTATTGGAAAAAACATTTTCATGTTAATTTTAATGATCAATCTTGCTTTGTGATTTTGAGTGAAAATCATGGAATGTTTTGCTGTTGTGTTAGTTACTTTATTATGTTCTTCAAATGTTATTTTCCTTTAGCTGCGTTTTGTGAGCGGTTCCGGGTTTATTATCTTGTATTTTATTATGCATAGGAGTTGGCCATTTTTATTTTATTCACCATGAACGTTATATACAGCGTTTATATGTGGTCTTATGTTGTATGTGGTCCAGTGAAGGACTTGGTTCCAGTCGTAGACTACCTATGTGTACTCACCTAGTTGTGCTTACGGGGGTTGAGCTTTGGCTCTTTGGTCCTGCCTCTCGACTGTCAATAACTGGTGAAATCAATCAATATGTGTGTGTGTGTGTTGTCACAGATTACCGCGAGGTTTTGTCATAAACTACCCATGTACTGTTACTGCCATAAACTACTACTGTTCCTTTCCCGACATAAATTACTACTGTCCCTTTCCCGCCATAAATGACTACTGTTCCATTCCCGCCATAAACTAACGGTGTGTGTGTGTATCTCCACAGGATTCCACATGACGCCGAAGTTGTCCCATGTGTTTCCGGAGTCGTGTATGTTGATTGTGTTGGGGGTGATCATCGGCCTGCTACTCTTCTACACCCAAGCCGCCTCCGTCTCCCCCCTCACCGCCGATGTCTTCTTCCTCTACCTGCTGCCTCCTATCATCCTCGACGCCGGCTACTTCATGCCCAACCGCCTCTTCTTTGACCACCTAGGCACCATCCTCGTCTACGCTGTCATTGGCACCATCTGGAACGCCTTGACTATCGGTAAGACATCGCTTTTGATCATGTATCATGTTTTGTTTTCCCATCGACGACCTTATTGGTATTTTTACAGTGGAATAGGTTCCCAAAAAGGGCCCCTCGATGTGCATGGAGTGTTTACAAGTCTGTTTTTCATAGTTTCCCCCTTATTTTGTACGTTGGGGACTATAGCTTACAAAATAAGATGCATTGGTTGAATAGACGGGCAGTGGAAGATATAATATTTTTCAGTTTTAAGACCTATAGGCTTTTCCGGTAGTCGTTACGCAGCCAAAACGGTTCTAGCCTATTCGACATGGCCAACATTCTTTGACTGGGCAACTTCGGTCAATAATATTTTGTTGGACTTTCTCCATCGTGGTTTCTATTATTTGAGTGCGTGCGTGCGAAGTGGAGTTGATATATTCATGGCTTCAACAGTGCTGGACAAGGCGTTAAGCGTGTCTGAACCGCGAAAACCCGTGAAGGAGGCTTATAGGCGTATCCTAGCAATACCTCGGCAACTGACATTCTCTCGTGCACTCTTTTCACTCCTTCTTTCTTCTCGATTTCTTCAAGTGCTTATATAATTTTTTCTCGTTGTTTCTGTTTTTCTCTTTGTAAGTTGTTTCTGTCTCTCTCTGTCTGTCTGTCTGTCTCTCTCTCTCTCTCTCTCTCTCTCTCTCTCTCTCTCTCTCTCTCTCTCTCTCTCTCTCTCTCTCTCTCTCTCTCTCTGTCTGTCTGTCTCTCTCTGTCTCTCTCTCTCTGTCTCTCTCTCTCTGTCTCTCTCTCTCTGTCTCTCTCTCTCTGTCTCTCTCTCTCTGTCTCTCTCTCTCTGTCTCTCTCTCTCTGTCTCTCTCTGTCTCTCTCTCTCTGTCTCTCTCTCTCTGTCTCTCTCTCTCTGTCTCTCTCTCTCTGTCTCTCTCTCTCTGTCTCTCTCTCTCTGTCTCTCTCTCTCTGTCTCTCTCTCTCTGTCTCTCTCTCTGTCTCTCTCTCTCTCTCTCTCTCTCTCTCTCTCTCTCTCTCTCTCTCTCTCTCTCTCTCTCTCTCTCTCTTGTTATTTATTTATTTATTTATATACAAGAAGGTACATTTGGGGGTTAAGAGAGAACATTTAGAAATGAAGTTGATTTTACATTCTTTTAAAGTCACTAACACGCATATAGCGTTTCCGGCAAACACTCTTTCTTTGTCACTCTGTCCCTCTATCTCTCTCTCTTTCTCTCTTTTACAGACACACACACATACACACAAATGCCAGTTACACCGTAAACATATGACAGTTTTAACATCAACTCATCCCATAGGTGGAATGGGAGTTAATAACTCGACCAGACAATCGTCTTGGATTAAATAAAATAAAATATATAGTCGGGGTCTTAAACACTATTTTCAACTCTCGTATAATTAAATTTTTATGGAGCGTCTGTTAGTGTTGTAAATGAGCCATAAAAGTATTTTAAATAAGCAAACACGTGATAAATTAGTAAATAATAAAATAATAGATAAGTGTGTAATAAATTGGTAAAGTAAAAATAAAGATGGGGAAATGACGTGAAGATTTGCATGGTCAGGTCACGTGACTATTGTGACGAGAGAATCAGGTCACGTGAACAAATCCACAAGGGCCGTGACGAGGATTCGAACCTGCGTCCGGGAGCATCCCAGACACCCGGACGCAGGTTCGAATCCTCGTCACGGCCATTGTGGATTTTTTTTTTTTTTTTTTTTTTGAGATATATACAAGAGTTGTTACATTCTTGTACAGCCACTAGTACGCGTAGCGTTTCGGGCAGGTCCCTGGAATACGATCCCCTGCCGCGAAGAATCGTTTTTTCATCCAAGTACACATTTTACTGTTGCGTTAAACAGAGGCTACAGTTAAGGAATTGCGCCCAGTAAATCCTCCCCGGCCAGGATACGAACCCATGACATAGCGCTCGCGGAACGCCAGGCGAGTGTCTTACCACTACACCACGGAGACTGTCTTCACTTGATGCATCACGTTAGTGTGATCTCTGTGTGTAAATCACGGCACGTGATTGTTGTGACGAGGGCGTCAGGTCACAGGAGGGAAGTTACAATCGCGTCAGGTCACGCTCGGTACAGAAAAGTCTCGTACATAAACATGATACCACCATGATAGCAGCGATCATTTGACATATATCCCTCTAGAGGCTATATAGAGCGTTGCAGTCTCCTTTATCTCTCATCCATGATACGAGCCTCTTGAATGCGATACATTGCCCTTGACCAGGATTTTCATCAGATATGTTCATTTACGAAACATGTACATCTTTCATGGCAGCCTAATTACCAGACATCTTAGCCAAATATCGATAACGTTTATAATTTGGTGACTCCTTTCCTGACAACTTACGGTGGATCATTTAGAATCGATCAATATTTCATATTTGTCATATTTCGAGAAAAAATAATTATAGGACCTCTCTCGCCACAGGTATCTCCATGTACGCAGTGAACCTAACTGGGCTCTTCGGCATGGATATCCCCATCCTGCACATGCTGCTCTTCTCCTCCCTTATCTCCGCCGTCGACCCCGTCGCCGTGTTGGCGGTGTTCGAGGAGATCCACGTCGACGAGGTCCTCTACATCCTGGTGTTCGGCGAGTCTCTGCTCAACGATGGCGTCACTGTGGTGAGTTTACGTCGGAAGCTGACCGAGGTTGATCAACTGCTGCTTCTCAAGCTTGAGCCTCTCCTGTAATCTTCTTTCTCATCGCTTTCGATGTGTTAATTTTCTCTGTCTTCTTTCAATGAGCTAAACTTCTTCTTTTTCTCGTCGTCTTTTTTTTCATAGTCTTCTAGGTAATGATAATATCTTCTACTATCTGTGAGTGAATTAATAATTACTATGCTCTTATAGTATCACGTGTCATTTTGACTAAAATCATTGATAAGTAGCTATTCACCGAGTTGAAGAGCGTGTCCTATCTCTTTTCAACGGATTTTACAGTTGCATGTTAAGCATTACCAGTTCTACTACTTAACGGTAATGTGATTAATTTCCTGGGTAATAATTTCCTGCCATACGTAAGGATGCCATTCCATTCTAATTCTGGCACTTACAATGTCTCACTATTTGCTGGTTGTTTTTGTGTAGTTTTGTACATGGTGTTCCCAGTTCTAAATATATCATAGCTATATTATAGTGCTTTATGTCGAATGTCGGTGATTGCTCATCTTTCAGCCATAGTTTTTTGGAGTAGTGTGGCTTCGACGATAGAGATTATAAGAAAGAGTACCAAAGTAGTTCATTTCATGTTTGTTACATGTCTCGTTTATATCAACGTGCTGCATAATACCAATGTGAGACGGTATCCATGCAAAAGGAATTCTAAAACCTTTGGTCTGTGCATTGCTTATATTTAGAATTGATGTTATAATATTACTTTGAAAGGCAGTTTTTAAAATAAGACAATAAGCTGCGGTATGCATAAAACTTGGTCTTTTGACTGATCTACATCCCTCCCGCAGGTGCTGTACCACTTGTTTGAGGGTTACAACGATCTTGGGGAAGACAACGTGCAGGTAATTGACATTGCCTCCGGGATAGCATCCTTCCTCCTGGTGGCCCTCGGTGGCACCGCCATCGGGATCATCTGGGGCTTTCTCACCGCCTTCGTCACAAGGTAAAATTGAAGAAACTGATGATCCTTTAGTTTGTAACTTGAGCATTATTGTGGATCAGTTCCTGAACTGAATTGCCATGTATGGCTTTTGCTCAATACGTACTTCCATCCCAACCCAGTCTTTATGCGTATATATTAGGTGCATATCAATTCAATAATTAAATCGTGTACTGTACTAAAACTATCAAGAGGTTTACAATCCAAGAGTTGAGGAGGAAGAGTGCGAGTTTTACCTGGCAGTCTTAAAATTAAGCCTTTAAATTAGCCAGAACACGATATTTGACGTCTGATGTTTGAGAATTGATTTTTTGCTTACTTTGTGTATATAACTCGCCAATTGTATATAGATTCTTCTTATTTATATGATAAATATTTTACATCAAAGCATCTGTATACGAGCAGAATAATTTCAGAACAGTAAAATATAATTTGTATTAATTCACAATACTAAGTGGGCTCCCAGTGCACAATTATGTACTTGGGTCCCCTCACTTTCCCAGCCCCAGTACTCTAGTAACCCAGGGGTCCCTCACTTTCTCAACTTCGGTATTCCACCTTACACTCGGGGGGCCCCTTCCTCCCCAGCCCTGGTACTCCACCATACATTCAGGGGTCCCCCTCACCCCCAGCCCCGGTACTCCCATCATACATTGGGGCCCCTCACTCCCCCAGCCTCACAGATAAAAACACTTGTGCTCTCCTCTTACAATTGTCATGACTGCATTTTTTTTAAATAGTTTACACTCTTGCCACTTGTGTCATTCTGAATTCTTCGCATCCCCATTGACCTGTAAGTATATTTAAATAAATATGAGTAATAAACGTAGTCTTGTACCTTTGGATAAATGTAGCTACGGTTTTCAATAATGTAGTACTGTTAGGTAAACCACTGATACACGAAATTAAGATAATTATTTCTGTGTATTTGAGTACTGTACTACTTTTGAGAGGTTGAAGACACTTATTTGCTGTTCTTCACAGGTTCACCAGTCAAGTGAGAGTGATCGAGCCCATCTTCGTGTTCGTCATGTCCTACCTTGCATATCTTAATGCTGAGATCTTCCATCTCTCTGGGATCTTGTCGTAAGTATCTTCATACCACCTCTCTCTCCTTTTTCTTCATCTAGTTACTCCTTCTAGCTTTTCTTTCTTCTTGTTTAAGTTTTTTTTAGCTAAGATTTGGGTTCATTAGGAAAGTTATGGATGTTAATAATAAGTTAGTTTAGTTCATTTATTATCACCCCATACCCATCTTGTGGGCGGTAGTGGAAATGGTTACAGAGGCACATAATGGGCTTAGGGACTTCTAATAATTCAACTAATAAATAAACAAAATAATTGTAACTAATAAAATTGTAACTGAAGCTTGGCCCTAGAAACTCATTTATTTGATGAACTTATTATTTGTTTCCATTGGGAATAAACTTAAATAAATGCTAAGTTACAGTCATGTTACTTTATATTAACTTGAAAATTACAAACTTTATTCTCAACTCTCAGTCAGGAAACCCAGTTTTTTTTCCCGGGCGGTACAGAAATTACCCACCTTGATAGCCAGGGATACCTTACTTGATTACTCACCTTGATAGCCAGCGATACCTTACTCGATTACCCTCTTAGTATCCAGGGATACCTTACTCGATTACCTGCCATTGGTAGCCAGGGATACCCTACTCAATTACTCACCTTGGTAGCCAAGTATCATCTTAATTAAATCTCACTCATACAGTCAACCATATCTAAATCGTACGATATAAGAAGTCATTTAAAAGAAGTTTATTTTAAATATTCCATCTTATAATTAATGACCTTTTGATTATATAATTTTCACTTATAATCATTGGACTAACAAAATGAAGATCATTAATAATTGTGAGTATTTTGTATACCTTGATTACTTATCCCATTAGTAAAATTGTGTAACTGCAGGAACATCACCTGGCCCTAGTTCAAATCTCTTAGTTCTTTAAATCTCAGTACAGTATTAACTTGACTTTTCATTCTAATTTTGGAGAGTAATTATTTTCACTTCTTCACAGCATTACCTTCTGCGGTATAACCATGAAAAATTATGTGGAGCAGAACATCTCGACCAAATCACACACAACTATAAAGTATGCCATGAAGATGTTGGCATCATCAGCGGAAACCATCATCTTCATGTTCTTGGGTGTTTCCACTGTCCAAAGCAAGCATGAGTGGAACACCTGGTTTGTCATCCTAACCATCGTCTTCTGCTCCATATACAGAATAATGGGTGAGTGGTTTGGACTGGTGATAGGTGATTGATGGAGGTTAATTTGATGTTTTTAAAAATAAGGGCACTTGAATAACAGTACTGCCCCAGCCATTTACAATACAGTAAAAGTAGTTCTACTGTTTCCTTTAAATTGGACTCACCTCAGGGAGGAGTGCTCAACCTTAGGGTTTTAAGTGTGTTGATGCATAGATTAATAACTTGCATTTATCTGAGGGCTAACATCTCTAGAGACCTGAATAGGAACAGAAAACTGGCTACTTATCAAAGGTTTCCCCCATTGTTCCTGAAGATTTTTTTCTAGTTGAATTTTAAACTGGAATACAGTACTGTACTGTCTAAAAGTTCTAGGCATTTTGCAATTTTGGTGGGTAGACAACTTATATGGGTGAAAAGGGATATCTTACTCGATTACCCCATTGGTAACGGGGCAAAATGCAGGTCAGCGTTCAATCCCCGACTGTCCAAGAGGTCGGGCACCATTCCTTCCCACCAGTCCCACCCCAAATTCTTATCCTGACTCCTTCCAAGTGCTTTATAGTCATTGTAGCTTGGCACTTTCCCCTGATAGTTCCATTCCCTTCCATAAAACTATACAAACTATATCATTGTTGATCCAATATTTTCTCAACATTTTTTGATTGCACTACTGCTTGCACAGAAGCAAAAGGAACATTCACCTGGACTCTTAGGAGACTCGAACTGTGGACCCCATGTGTGTGAGGCCAAAGTTCACAATTTTTTGTATTGAACTACAGTATGTTTCATATACAGTACTGTATACAATATATATATATTCATATATGAGATAATGATTGTCAGTTGAAGGTTGGAGGCCAGATGCGTGGGGGCTAGCCTCGTCCAACTTTCACCCATGAAGATTTTCGGGGAAGTGAATTGACATAGGCCAGATGGGGTTGCCAACAGTACTCTCTTAAAGAAATACTAGCATCTAACTAACCTCCAACCCTCCCTTCATGTGATTTTTGTGAAGCCAAATTTGAAATAATGGATATGTTTCCTATTGAGTTTTTATTCAACAGTTTAAATGTTTTGTTATATACAGTAATCTTTCTGAGAGAGCGGAGGGGGGGGATGTTCGAAGAGAGGAAAGTGGGGTGGAAAAGAGAGAGAGGGAGAGGGGTGAAATGGGAAGGGAGGAGAAAGACCCAGGCACAGCAAAGAACCTCTCCCCCCCCTCCCCACCCCACCACCCGTCCCAGTACAATATTTACATTACCTTTCTAAGTGGCATTCCCTTTCCATCTAGGTGTCTGGATCTTCAGTGCAATGTGCAATCGATTCCGTGTCAAGAAGGTCAACTTTGTGGATAAATTCATCCTGTCATATGGTGGGTTAAGAGGTGCTGTAGCCTTTGCCCTAGTTCTGACTGTCAACGTTGAACACATCCCTAGCCAGCCCATAATGCTTACTGCCACCATGGCCATGGTCTACTTTACTGTTTTCCTGCAGGTAAGACTTTGAATTGTGTTAACATTACTATAAAGTTAACATTAACACCCTTCCCCAGGATGCAACCCCATAAGAAGCTGACTAACTCCTGGGTACCTGCTTATCGCTATGTGAACAGAGCATTAGGTGATAAGTAATATGCCCAACCATTTCTGTCCTGCCTGGGATTTGAACCTGGAATTCATGATTGTGAGTCTTGAACGAACCCAACTCTACTACCAGGACCCTCTAATTTATACCAGATAAAAGGCATGATGTAAATTATTGTGATGAATATTATAAAAGTATTTTTGGGAAAACAATTAGATTATGATGAAGAAATAACTCCCATCTGACTTCAGTGCTGGTAGTTGACCTTTGATATACAGTACTTCTTAGCTGTCTAAAATAGAATCCTAGAAAGTAGAGGAATTCTGCCGATATGTGTATCAACTCTCCATTTTCCCTCCCAAACAACAAATTGGTAATTTTAATATTGGATTGACTGAATTGTAAAAAATACATCAACCTTACTCTTTGCAGATTTTAATTGTTTTTTCTTTGGGTTGAATATAAGTTGGCAGTTTACTTGAAGCTTAGTTATGTTTACTGTACATTTTTTAAAAGTGTATTTAAAGTCTTAGCATTTGTAAACGTTCTTGCTACTAATACATTAGACATTACATAAGGTGATGAATGGCTGAAATAAGATTGTAGTTTGGGTAAAAAAATCATAATATCTTGTATAAATACAATAGACAAATTTTGTATGATATATATATACTGTGTATGCAGTATATATCTATATATTAATATATTATTTTTTATAATTACTGATGTTTTAGTCTGTATTCATTACAATAATATTGTCTTATGGTGCAGGGTATTACCATTAAGCCGCTAACAGTGATGCTGGGAGTGAAGAAAGCAAATAAGCGTACGCTCACCATGAATGAACGCCTCCACGAGAGGGTGAGTTACCGAAACTCGTATGGTTATGTAAATAATATTATAACAATAACAGTACTGCAATTGTAATGTATATTACACTGTATTTGTATAAATAAATATTATCATATGCACTGTATATATATTAAATCGTACACAGTACAGTACATACATTGTACATCATGGTGACTTTCTGTGTACTGCTACTAATCATGCACAACATTTCTGGCAAATAAACAAGCATAAAGATATAACAAGAAAATCTAATTGAATTAGTATTCATTGCTTATCGGTCATGTTCATGATTTAGACATTGAAAATTTCTATTTCTGTTGACAATATAATTTATTATGAGTAATGATGTCATATTTAATTTGCAGACAATGGATTACATTGTATCAGGCATTCTAGATATAACAGGCGGGCATGGAAACCTCAGCTTCAGGAACAAGTAAGTGTGCTGCTTTGAGTGTCACTGTTTTCATCTTATTTACAGATGCATGTATATTCTTTTTCCCAGCATCTCCTTAACTCGGCACTCATCCTGTATGCGTATATCACACAGCAACACTTCCTGTATGTGTGTATTATACCTTGCCAATCATTCTGTGTGCATTTCATATCACTAATGATAACTTTGAGAATCATGTAGCCAGAAATGACATATTAAAGGTATGAATATAATTAATTTGACCTTGAGTATGAAGCTTTAGAAGGGATTTGAGAAAAAGGATCTATGATCACCTCTTATGCTTCTAATAATTCAATTTATTGAATTATTGCTCATGTGTTAAAGAAAATTTTTAGGTTCAATATAGTCTTTAAAATTTGTCTCACTTCTGAGGATCAGCATTACACTCTGAAATCTCAAACATTTCTTCTATTTGAATTTGTATTATTTTTGTATCTGTCAAAGCTTAAGTGATTTACTATTTCCCATCTATCAGGTAATAGATGTAATACTTTACCCCTCTTTTTGAATCACCTGTGGTAGTCTTCATTATTTTTTGCACAGATTTCATATTTATCTTGTAGATACTTTTGTTCATTTTATAGAGAAGCCGAGTACAGGAGCAGAAGTCTTGTGACTTTTGTTTACAGGCTAAGACCTCTAAGAACTCTTATACTACTTGTTTATAGATTGTTGATGAATCTTGACATCTAAAAGGAGTCAAACTAATTGTTAAAATTATATCTGTGCCTCTACAAAGTGTCTATCATGTGTCGGGTACTGAGAAACATATAGTTATTGAAGTATATTTTTCCTGGCTCACAAGTGGTGGGGGATTTCAAATATGGGGTTTCCTCCAATGTGCCATTTGGTAACAATATAATTTTAATAGTAAACCATTTTATTTGTTTTTAGATTCAAGAGGTTCAGCAATAAATACCTGACACCGTTTTTAGTTCGTGAGAAGAACGTAATGGAGCCTAAATTCATAGAAACATTTAGCCAGATCAAGATGCAGGAGGCTCTTCATTACATGGCCACCAGTGGCAATGCAGGCAACAACATCGAGTCATTTACCAATTTATTACGAAATGCTGCAAGTCATCCAAAGTAAGTTTCGTATCACATCTTCTAATCGTCTTGGTTTTTCTTTCTGTGCCAGGAAATGGTTGTCAAAAATTTTTGGACGATAAGGCCAATTTCACTTGCCATTTAATCTCATTGAAACTTGAAAATTATTAGGTATTTCTAATTTCATAATACTGTACAGTTTTTAAATGTTGTGAATTAGTACTGTACATGATAATGAACTAAACATAATTATGGAAATTCATCAAAATATACAAGGGAATTAAGTCGATTGCATGTTCACTCTTCCTCAGCCTCCTCAAGAACAGCCAAGGTGAATGGAACCTTGATGTTGGAGAATTAGAATATAACCCTAATGTACGGGACCTCAATGATGCCAAATTCCACCATCTTCTGTCCAGCGAGTACACTGCTGTCAAGCGGGTGAGTGAACAAGGAGCTGGGAAGAATTGTGCTTTGCATGTTAAATGTGTTTTATTTTGTTAATGTTCCTATTAAAGAGTAAAATTCAAATCATAGTGGAGTCATGAAAAGTGCAGTGGTCAGAACAGTTGGCTAAAGATTGAAAATTTTCAGGTTCATTTTCTGGGCAGGAGGAAATATTTGGGTATGTTTCCGTACACCTGATGCCTCTGTTCACCTAACAGTAAATAGGTATCTTGAAGTTGTGCAACTGCTTTGGTTTGCATCTTGGGGAAGGTCAGTCGATTACCAAATGCAGAGGTTTTCCCTTTATTTTAAGGGATCCATAGATGAGAATGTGGTTGTAAGGGATCCACAGTGAGAACAAGGCTTTAGAAGTCCACAGGTTAGCACGTACTTGTAGGGGTCCACAGGTGAGAAGGCGGTTGAAAAAAGTGGAATAACACATAAAAAAATTAGGAACCACTGGTCTAAGGGACCTCAATCAGCCTAACAGGCTTCCAGTCCCCCAACAGTTGGAAACTGCATAGATTTACTGTAATTGAAGGCAAATAAATGATTTAATGAGTCCCATTGTCAGGGAGAGGAAGCCTGGAATTGGATTTATTGAGACCCCCCCCCAAGTCAACTACTGACTTTTTCCAGGGTGCAACCCACAACAGCTGCCAAACTCTTAGGTACCTTTATACATCTAGGTGAATAGAGATATCAGGGTAATGGAAAAGTACCTAACTGTTGCCATCCCACCTGAGGTCAAATCCAGGATCCTTGGTTGGGAGCCAAGGACGTAGACCACTGTACTCCATTTGAAAGAAACTTCCAGTTTTTGGTGACAATGATACTGAGTGATATATCATAAAATTCTGAAAGTTTGATGGTGCATTAATAATGACTGGCTTGTATCAGCACCGTGGTTCGACGTACAAGAGGCATGCTGTGAAGGATGACGACATGCAGACGCAGATGGACGTTAACCACCACAACATGTATCTCCATACTCGGCAGTTTGTCAGCACCATCAGAAAGCAGAGCAAGAGAAACAAAAAGGCAGTAAGTTTAATTATAATCATGTACAGAATACACTATACTATATTATTGTTTTTCCACTCTAATGTGGAAAATTTAGGGATGTATGACAGTACAGTATGTAAATAATATACCATTACTGTATATAAATGCATATACTGTATATAAATATACTATAAAAAATGTAAAAACTGTGTATACATATATTGGAATATATTTAAATATTTAAATGTTTTTCTTTAAATTTTACTTATAATTGGTAAATTTAGTTTAATAAATACAATGTAGAATTTTTAATGGGAAGCAAAACTAACCAAACAATCTAATCTAAATACAGTATGTCTATTATTCATTAACTTTGCCTGACATAGGCAAAAACAAGGCTTAAATAAATTAGATAAATTTAATCAGTATAATTTATTCATCACATGCAGGCAAATTTTTGTAAGGATATGAAGGTAATATTTAAAAATGCTCTGCTATTATAAAAAATGGTTAGGATCTACTAGGGTTAGTAGACCAGTTCTGACTACAGTGGCACCTTCAAAATTCTGATGTCATTCTGAACCTAATCTGGATTTGCGTCAAACTTGAATTTCCAGAGATGTTCTCTTCTTTGGTAATTTATTGCCAAATTGTCAGAATTTTTCTTGTAGCAAGTGTTCAAATGGGGGGGAGGACCTTTGACAAGCTACTGGCTTCCTGTCCTTGCCGAGGCCTCTAGAGTGTTAGAGGTCCTCAGGTAAATGTATGAAAAAAATTAAGAAATAAGCAGACGAGGAGTCACAATAAAGTGGCTGAAATATGTTGACCATACCACACTAGAAAGTGAAGGGACGACGACGTTTCAATCCGTCCTGGATCATTCCCAAGTCGATTGTGAATGGTCCAGGATGAACCGAAATGTTGTTGTCCCTTCACTTTCAAGTGTGTAGTTTGGTCAACATTAAGAAATAATAACCAATACTAGCTGGTCTTGATAACAAAGTGGTAGCAAAATGCAGTTATTGCACTATCATGCCAATTGTCACACTGTAACAATCACCCCAACCTGGTGTTGAAGATCCCAGTACCAATGGTTAATGCTACAAAACTGTAACTGTTAACCACCAACAGCCAGCTCCATACTGCACTGCTACATAAATCGGTGGAAAATGGCATCCTTTAAATCCTCTTTCTTGGAACGTTTCAATGCTTTAGACACTTATCGTTCCACCATTACTCTCTGTGGTTTGTTCACAAACTTTATGATCTACTTACATTGGTTTAATTGTCAGAAACAGTACTAGCACTAATACTAGACTCCGCTGCCAGACATTTTCCTCCCTATCTGTGATTACATTGTCTAGCAACTTGGCCTCATTGTTCATGATAAGGAAAGTGCCCTTACCTCTGTCTGATGTACCCATGCTACGCTTGTGCACGACATGGCTTCAGCGTGAGAATAATAATAATAGCAGAAGAAAAGCCAGTGAAAATACATGAGTAACAAGAGTTCTGACCACACTCTTGCAAGAGGAAAATGTATGGCTAGTCCATATGTTATCACAATGTCTGGATGCCTCGGAAAATTTGTCGCAAACAAACTCGTTTGCACAATTTATAATAGATTACAAGCATAGTGAAACATTTCTAAAATATTAATGATTATTTTGAATGATATTTACAAATAAAAAAGCAAGATTAGCAAAAATAAAACAAGTACAATTTAATGGAAACCACTTTATGGTGATGAATAAACAATCCAGATTTCACTGTATATCACCCCAGAATCCAGATTTGGGAGGGTCCACTGTATTAGTCATAATAATATAAAGGTACTGTACATGTATTTAATAATATATGTAATTATATAATATATATACTCTATATGTATAGTATATATATGCATTCATGCATGTATGTATGTACATATGTATGTATATATATAATATGTAAATATATTAATGTGCAGGTCTCAAAAAATTCTCAAATAAAACAAACATGTCATCTCATTTGATATATGTCTTGAGGGCAAGAAGGAGGAAAGGACTGGGTTTACTGTAAGACATACAAATGCAACTTTGTTTAGCAGATTTTGTTTGTATTTAAGTTGTTTGAAATACAGTAGTTCATAAATGTATATTAATCATAAGAATTGTGTTAAATATATTTAGTAAATATGGGCTTTGAGTTGCTTTTGTATATTATACTTTTTTTTTTTTTAAATTGGGTCACCAAACAGTTTCTTAAAATAGTAACAATTTATTATAAGTTCAAGCAGAATTTTCTAGCATTAATATGAATCTAATGACTAGTGGTGATTTAGGATAATGCTGTAGGTTCGGTCAGCCCTGAGCATCTACAAGCTGTCCGATTGTCACAAATCGTTCAGTTTTTTGACAATCTGGAAAACATCATCCAGGTAACCATAAATGGAGCAGTATAGGCTGTGGTTCCATCTGTAGCTATTACTATTATAATGCATAATACGACGCAGATACCTGCCGTTTCTACACACCAGTTATGCTTTTATAATAGTAATAGGTTAATGGTACCCTTGCCCATTACGTTCCATTGATCTGTGCATCAAGTCTGGTGTGACATCTTATTACAAGAGGCTTACTGATACACAAATTGTATTTTGGTTTGCTTTAATCCTAGATATATATATATATAACAATGTATAGCACAATATGACATCATTTACAAGAAATTTGATATAGGGTATAAACCCTTGTTTTACAATAATAAGTGCATGATCACCCATGTGTAGTGTGTTTACTTTCTTCGTGTATCTGTGCAAACATTATTCTGTATTTTTTACAGATTTATTAATGCAGCAAAAATGAAATAACAAAATGTATGTGTGTGTGTGTGTGTATGTGTGTGTTTTGCATGTGTGTGCATTAATGATGATCGAGCTGTGATTCTTCAGTCACACGTATGAACTATCAATTGTTTGGTGTTGCTATTGGCCAACTCGGATTTCTCCCTTTTTAAAGGTAAATTTTTTTATCATTATCCTTTATAACTACAGCACTCCTAATGCATTTCACGCACCATACTTACTCTGACGAATTTAGTTTATGCCTTTTTGATACATTTAGATATTAAGTATTTTGGGTGTTGTGATCATGTCTTCTCTATGTTTCTGTTCTAATAATACAATTCCATTATCTCAGGGATTGATATGGTGGCAAATTTCTAGATTTTATCCATCTTACATGTCTGAGATAGTATGAGCTTAAAATTCTGTACAGTGTACTGTGTAATCCTGTATCAGCCTAATATGTGTGTCTAGTATTGTGAGTGATTCTTTGCTAAGATCATGAATATTGTTCTAGTATTTGCTGACATTGCTTATGCCACTGATATTCCTGGACAGGGCAGAAATGGTTATGCACATGTCTTTTCAACTGATGCATCTGTTCACCTTGCTGTAAATAGGTACCCAGGAAATGGGTAACTGTTGTGGTTTGCATCCTGGGGATGGTCAGTAGTTGACCTGTTGGACTTCACTAAGTCCATGTACAGGTTTCCTATCCCCTCAACGATGGGAATTAATGTGAGCCCTTGAACAGATATATGATATGATGTTGACCTCCGTTAGGGCCGCCTTCCTTTCTCACACTTGTTGCTGGATGTTTTCCTCTCGGCTGGTTTGATGCCTTAGTCTCCTTTTATCTGTTCTCAATCTTAAAGACCTTGTATTTATTGGGAGTAAATTCAGGCAGCCACTTATCAGACCTTTTCTGGGGGGAGCCCCGTCGGCTCCCCGGAGCTTTACCGGCTGATATGCTAATGTCAGACTTTGGCATCAGTCATGTGTATGGAGTTCTAGGGCCTACCGGGGACCACGAGCCAGAACCTGGCCCCCTCAGAGAGGCAAGGGGAGCAATGGCCTATAGAAACCCCCGTGTGGTTGGAAGCATTCTATGTCTGCCATCGACCGGGTCAAGCATCCAGAAAGGTAAGCATTCCAAAACAAACCCCTATTCTGGTGAAAATTGCTACCTAAGCCGAACTAGTGAATAGAACTCTTCAACAGAAAACAAGGAAACTAGTATGACGTCATACGTCACCGCGCCGCTGTCTACGCAGCTCCCCCCTCCCCGGGAGGGGGAAGGGGGAGCCCCAGACCTCCCACGCCGGCTATCCACCCATCAGTTCTTCGGCTGATGCTATAAGCTGCCTGTGTTCTTCCCTCATGTCTGTGCCGTTCGTGGCTTTGCTGCTCTCGCTGCCGTCTGGGCGACGTGGCCTTGCGGTCTTTCGGGCATGGATTTTTGGTGTTCGTGCAGGGGCCTTGCTGCTCGTGGTTCTCGTGTTGTTCCCGGGATTTTCGGGGCTGTGGCGCCTTGGGTTGGCGTTTGCTGCCGGTTGTCTAGCCTCCTTGGGGGGTGCGTGGTGTCCGCCTCCCGGTTTTGTCCCTTTGACCTTCCTCTGTGGGTAGTTAGCTCCGGGGAGCCGACGGGGCTCCCCCCAGAAAACCAGCGTTGAATGTAATGAAACGCCATTTTCTGGGTGAGACCCGGAGGCTCCCCGGCAACCCTCCCTCCCTCCGGTCGGCGTTTTTCGCGTGTTTTGACATCCAGCCTGATGGGTGGATAGCCGGCGTGGGAGGTCTGGGGCTCCCCCTTCCCCCTCCCGGGGAGGGGGGAGCTGCGCAGACAGCGGCGCGGTGACGTATGACGTCATACTAGTTTCCTTGTTTTCTGTTGAAGAGTTCTATTCACTAGTTCGGCTTAGGTAGCAATTTTCACCAGAATAGGGGTTTGTTTTGGAATGCTTACCTTTCTGGATGCTTGACCCGGTCGATGGCAGACATAGAATGCTTCCAACCACACGGGGGTTTCTATAGGCCATTGCTCCCCTTGCCTCTCTGAGGGGGCCAGGTTCTGGCTCGTGGTCCCCGGTAGGCCCTAGAACTCCATACACATGACTGATGCCAAAGTCTGACATTAGCATATCAGCCGGTAAAGCTCCGGGGAGCCTCCGGGTCTCACCCAGAAAATGGCGTTTCATTACATTCAACGCTGGTTTTTTATATTTTGTTTTTGTCTAGACGCTCAGCCTTTTCCAGCGAGTTGAATGCTACTGGCGCACTATAGTAAAGAGTATAAATAATGCTCCTGCTACTTCCTTTAGTAACCATAGTAATAAGTGTGTGTGTGGTGGGAAATTATCCAATTATAATTACAGGATAAGAGCCATGCTTGTAAGTAAGTAATTATCAAAAGAAGGCACCAATTTGGGAAGACTGCCATGCTTGTGGTGTCTTGACTTTCCAATAGCCTTTGTTATATGAAGTATTGATGCTTCTGATGGTTTTTGGCATGTAGAGTACTGTACTATTCTTTCACTTAATTTACATACCTTTTTCAACACCTTCGCTTTTTTAATCTGATTCTGACCTTATTCTCGATGTTGTGTTTTTACAAAAAAAACTCCGCCTTTTAAAATTCAATGATTTTCTGTTACAATTTGTACAAAAGAATCATTTCATCTAATTTTCTTCTGTTAAATAGTTGTGGCATATTTAATGCATCCAACTTCTCGTAATTTTTTTTTTTTTTTAAGGCCCAGGATCTGTTTAGTAATGTCTACATTTTTTCTATTTTATTTCTTTAAAGAGAAATGAGCACCATACAACAGCTGCACATTCTGATCTATATGTATGTATGTGTGTGGTGATGGTGTGCAAGTTACATGTCTAGAATGTATGGGTATGTATTCACTTAGTTGGGCTTGCGGGGGTTGAGCTCTGCTCTTTCGGCCCGCCTCTCAACTGTCAATCAATCAACTGTTACTATTTTTTTTCACACCCACACACACCCCCAGGAAGCAGTCCGTAAGAGCTGTCGAACTCCCAGGTACCTATTTACTGCTAGGTAACAGGGGCATTAAGGTGATAGAGACTCTACTCATTGTTTCTTGCCAGTGCCGGGAATCGAACCCTGGCCACAGGATTACATGTCCAGCCTACTATTCACACAGCCAACGGCTGCTATCCACACAGTCAATTCTGTGTAATTACCTAAGGGTAATTACCTAAGGGTAATTACCTAAGTGTAGTTACAGGATGAGAGCTACACTCGTGGTGTCCTGTCTTCCCAGCACTCTGTCATATATCGCTTTGAAACTACTGACGGTTTTGGCCTCCACCACCTTCTCACCTAACTTGTTCCAACCGTCTACCACTCTGAAAATGTCTACTACACCAACACATCTACCACGTGTGTGTATGTGTGTGTGTGTGCACGTGCGTGTGAGGATGTTGTACAAGTTGCATGTCTAGAATGTTTGGGTGTGTGTGTGTGTGTGTATGTGATAATGAGATTATGATTGTTTCTCTATTTTTGTTTTCTTAGATATACAGTACTGAGCATTGTGGCAGTTTCACAGATTTTCTCTTGCATATGAGTGCACAAATCTGCATGATTCTTAGGTGACAGAAGATAACCAACTTGTTATCACCATTTTATACCATTAGCGTGTTCTCTGGAGCATGCAGAAGGTTTTGTGGTTGGTTACCTCTCTAATATGGAGATGCATGAACTTCTGCGGTATGACTAACATAAGGAAGTAGATTAGTTGGTGGTGGAGTAAAGAGTCTGAAGCATTCTAACAGCAGCTATGTAGATCATGTAGTTAAATTTATAGCACACTGATCATTATTCTACTGTAATAAGGTGTTGTAGAGAATGAAGATTTTTTAAAAATAAACTGTAGCATTGTACAAAGCTCAACTGATTATTTTCATGAGCATTCGGCAAATATGTTTTGAGCTTTGAGGATTGTTTTAATATACTGTACCAGTAGTTAATTTCTACATGCATTTTTCTCTCCGTAATCAAAAGTAATGGGATTCTGTTCTCTCACTGGTGTTGTATATAGTTTTGAAATCCAATTCAAAAGTAATATTCACTAATGTTTTTATATGCTATTTAAATTTACTGGTGTTGGGGTAAATTTGTACATTAAAACTGAAATGATAATTTAAAATATTGCTGACTATTATTTTTTTATGCAAAATGCAGTATGCTCATGGTACTGAAAACTAATAGATTTCCAAAATTTTATATATATTCTCCTTAAAAAATTAATCATAACCTACAATATTAAAGAAACATGATGAAAGTACTTTGTGGAAAATTAAATTCTTAACCACGAAGGCAATTTCAGATTCAACGTCTTTGATCATTTTTTTTTTTTTTTACCTTAAATGTGGTATGCTTATGTGTATATGTTGACTTTATAGCGGATTTTTCTTGCTCTTGCCAGACAGAGAATGGTGTAGTGAAGGATGTCAAAGCTGTAGAGGATGCCAGGGCAGCTTTCCAACAGAATGGTTCTGCTATTAAACTGCAAAGTGGTGAGTTGTAATAACTAGTTTTGTAGAAATGTCAATTGCTACTAGTTTCACAATGCACTCGTTAAACATTTTTACAGGATGACAAATTCTTACTCTGGTCTTGTTTTAACATTCTTTTAAATGTTCTTTGTGGAATAAGAACATGCTAAACCTATGAGAAAATAGTGATGCCATATGATAGGTTTAATCCCATTGTATGGCTTCAATATTTACAGTACATGTTAATGTACACTATATACCCAATTAATTTATTTTCAGATTTCTAGCTGTTATTATTGGGTTAAAAATTTAAATTTTGTGAAGAAAATGTCATGCATAATTTTCTGATTTTCGAAATGATTAAGATTGTATCACACAAGGAACATAAGAGACTTGTACTTTGACACAGCTACCTAAGCTTCTTAGTTAAATTCAGTCATATGAGACTTACTGAATGTTAGACAAGTATTAAATATGCAATATTTATTTTGCTGGATGCATCACAGGTTTTATACCAAATTCTACAAGTTATATTTACCAAGTGCACTTAATAATTTTGTGCCTAGGCATTTTATAGCTATTACTTCTGTCTATTTCCTCTGAAATGTCAAATTTGTATAATTTTATTCCTTCCTTTCTGTAAATCTGCAACATGCACATGTGTGGCATTTTTTTTTTAATATTCTTCTCTTACTTTTAGTTCAATACTTGTTCTTAACAACTTCTGTCATAGAGTTATTGAATTTTAAATGCTTTGGCACTAATACGCACACCGTAAAATTTAGATTTGTTCTCACCATGTCCATGTTTCATATAAAAGTGGAGTGTATTCGACTTTTGCATGCTTATACTGTACATGTGACTATTGACTCTGGCAGACTACATGGAACACGTGTTGAGAGACAACCCTGCTTTTGTAGACGACGATGGCAGGACCCCATACATTAGAGGTGAGCCACATAAACAATGCTTATCCAGAAGTTTTTTTAAGTTGAATTTTAATGCAAAAAAAATATAACACAAAAAAATTACACATCGCACATTATGTATATAATATTATAAATGGTATTTAATATGACAGAAAGAGATCAGTGATTCCAGCAGAAATATTCTCTGTATACCTGATCTTCAACTTCATTTGGGAAGGAAGTTGAAAAATTTACTCACCAAAGTTCACTTTACAATTGAATTTGGGCTAATGCTTGTCACTAAATGATGCATTATATTGAAGCTCTTGACATCTTTGGAGGCAATGGGGGATACATGTACTGTTACTTCTGCTAAGTTGTATCCACTTTCCTCTTTTTTCGAAGATATAAGCACAGCTTCCAAAATATAATGTGTTATAGTGTATAGTTATATAATATGTTATATACTGTACTTACAGTATATAGAAAATTATTTATTTAGATGCATTTCTAGGTAGAGGTATTTTATTGTGAAGTTCAGCTTTTGTATCAAAAAGGTGTTAAATATAGTATAGCAATATAAAATCTATTAGACAACTGTATATGTAGCATGTGCTTAACCTTTAACTCTCTACCATCTTGTAATAGTTTTACTACAAATTTTAATGAAAAATTAATAATTTTTGTGTTTGCATAAAGTAAAAATTGGGAGGCAAAAGTATATACCTCATTGTGGTAGACCACCCACAAGATGGGTATGAGGTGCATAATAAATGAACTAAACTAACTGGTAGGCCAAGCGACTCATGCATTTTATCTATACTCTGCAGATAACACTACTGCTAAAAATTCAATACGTGGCCCTACAGAAGCAGAATCAGCATTACCATGGAAAAGATACTCTGAAGGCAAGTTTGATAGATTTTGATTGTGTACGTGTGTGTGTATGTGTGAGTTAATTTGCTGTGAATATCTTCGGGAAGTCAGTCATTATTAGGTTTTCAAATTTCAGTTGTAATTTTTATGTTTTATTCAGTATTTATTCATTTAATACATATTAAGCCTGTTTTAAATGCAACATATCATTAATACCATTTCTCCTTCCTTTGATACTATACACAGATTCAGAAAGTATCATGTTCAGGAAATTTCTTCCAGCTTACTACAAACAAATTTGTGTTAATTCTAAGTAGTATATCTAACATATTCAAAGATTTCTCTGCCTCCTTGGATTATGAACCCATGGAACTGTCTACCCGCCAAAGCTGAAAATACCAAAATACTTTAATATTAACTGTTAAAGTACAGTTGGAAAAGATCATAAAGACAATTTGGAAGACTTTCGACAAGCGCTTTCGACAGGGCTTCCTGTCCTCATCAAGTCTATTAGAGTTAAGTGGTTCCCAGGTAAACTTAGGTAGTGCATCCATAAGGAGACAACTGATTCCTTTAAAAAGTATATAATCGTATGTATGATACACAAAGAAAGAATTCCAAGTACATTCCTTAATTGCAAAAGATGAGAAGAAAATATAGCTGATAGATGTAGAAAACCAGTTATTAGCAAAAACTAAGAAGAAGGAAAAAATGAAACTAGAAAAAACATTGGAATGCGTGTGTGTATGGTCAGGAGCCATTTTGTCAAAGGCAGCTGGTGAATGACCATTCCAGTGACCAGACAGGAGTCTGGAGTATAAATAGTATATAAAGGATTATAAAACATTGACACAAACTGCACCTATCATAGAGAAGATGAAGACTCACCAGTGTCCATGGTGTGGGATGGTATTCACTTGTCTTGAAGATGTGAAGAGGCACTTGTTAGTGCATTCAGGTGAAAAACCTTATGAGTGTCCAGAGTGTGGGAAGAGATTCAGTCGTCTAGGAAATATGAAGACACACAGGATGGTGCATACGGATAAAAGACCTTTTGAATGTGCTGAGTGTGGCAAAAAATTTAAAAGACATAGAGAAATAATACAACATACATTAGTGCATTCAGGTGAAAAACATTATGAGTGTCCAGAGTGTGGGAAGAGATTCAGTCGTCTTGCAAATATGAAGACACACAGGATGGTGCATTCGGATAAAAGACCTTTTGAATGTGCTGAGTGTGGTACTACATTTAGAAGACGTGGCGATATAATACGTCACATGTTAGTGCATTCAAGTGATAAATTTCATGAGTGTCCAGAGTGTGGAAAGAGATTCAGTCGTCTTGGAAATATGAAGAGACATAGGACGGTGCATATGGATAAAAGACCTTTTGAATGTGCTGAGTGTGATAATACATTTAGAAGACGTGGAGATATAGTACAACACATGTTAGTACATTCAGATGAGAAACCTCATGAGTGTCCAGAGTGTGGGAAGAGATTCAGTCATCTTGGAAATATGAAGACACACAGGATGGTGCATACAGATAAAAGACCTTTTGAATGTGCTGACTGTGGCAAAAAATTTAAAAGACATACATATATAATACAACACATGCCAGTGCATTCAAATGACAAATTTCATGAGTGTCCAGAGTGTGGGAAGAGATTCAGTCGTCTTGGAAATATGAAGAGACACAACATGATGGTGCACACGGATACAAGACCTTTTGAATGTACCGAGTGTGGCAAAAAATTTAGAAGACGTGGAGATACAATAGAGCACATGTTAGTGCATTCAAGTCACAAACCTCATGAGTGTTCAGAGCATGGGAATTGATTCACTCATCTTGCAACTATGAAGAAGCACAAGACGATACATTCAGGTGATAAGCTAAACACTTAAAGTGTGGGAGATGATTGAGAGAATGTTTAAGTATAATGAGACACATTAAAGGTACAGTAACTTACCTTTAATATAATATACAATTAGGAAATTTAGCTTCATCATGGAAAAAAGTCTCCGTAGTGTAATGGTAAGACATTCACCTGGCATTTCATGATTGCTTTGTCCTGGGTTCTTATTCTGGCTGGGGAGGATATTTTGGGTGTCAATCCTTAACTGTAGCCTCTTTTTACCCAACAGCAAAATGGGTTCCAGGTTGTTAAATGATTTGGCGGGTCATATTCTGGGGAACATAGGATTAAGGACTTGCCCAAAATGCTATGCGTGCCAGTGGCTGTATAAGAATGAAAGAACTCTAGAAGTAAAAAAAGTTCTTGCATCTTCCTTGCTAATAAGCATCACATAGAATTGGCACTATCACACACTTGCAGATTATCCACACCAGTGCACCAATGTATCATAATACAGTTATTAACCCCCTCTTCACCTCTTCATAAACTACTACCAACTCATCTGAAAGTCTTTTAGAGGAGCACACTACTGTGTGATTAAAAATGCTCCTTGTTCAAGACATTTTCAGAGTTGTAGTTTCGGTGGCTAGCGTAGTACTTCAGCCAACTCCTTATTTTAGATGGAGTCTCCAGACACTTCTGGAGCTTATAGTCTTTAACTTGACAATATTCTTGAGTGTTACACATGTGATTGGAATATTTCTTAACTCTTTCTATTGATAGTTAAGTATGTATGACCGCTTACATTCTTCATTTGATTATGTTAGCTGTAACAACATAAAATTTCATGCATACTTAACTTTTTTTTTTTTTAACCAAAGTCAGAGTAACAGGCTAAAATAAATTAATATTTAACACTATGGTGATCCTCTAATTTTTATTTTTAATTACAGAGGATGTTCCCACATCTGCTCGGAAAGTACAACGGCAACTGAGCATCGTTCCAGACGATGGCAAGTAGAATGCTTTACGGAACATATATTTTGTTCTCTTTAATTTAGAATGTCTAGTTGCTGACAAATTGAAAAGACCAATCAGTTAATTAGCATATTGTATTGATCAAACTTTAGGGCTTGGCAATTCATACTAAATTATTTTAGTCATCACTGATAAAATGTCTGAATCACTCTGATATTAGTGGATTTATGCTCTGTACTTATCTTACTTATGTATCTTCTACTGTTCATGTATCAAATGTATGTACAGTATACTTGTATAAACAAAATACTGTATTATTATGTATGAATCTTTAATGGTGATAGATAGCTGAACAGGAGTCAAAGACCCTGGAAGGGTAAATGAACCAACCCCACTGAATTCCCTGAGACACTTACCCAATATGCCTGGGTATCTTGGGTCAAAGTGTGTCAAAACTGCTACAACGTCCTTCCCATAAAAATTGTCAACAGAATGCATCACAAAAAGGCTTATGGCAGTAACCTGCTGACCAATTGAAAGAAGTGAACACCGAGAACATGTTTTATGGAGAAGCATAAGTTCAAAAGAAGAGCGATGTTGAAGGGAGCACACTAGCTTATCCATAGAAAGAATACACACTCGATCAACAGGACCCACAGAGAAGGGAAGCCTAGGGGGCCATGTGGCTGAGTGGACAGCGCTTTGGATATACCTGGTTGATACCTGGTTGATGGGGTTCTGGGAGTTCTTCTACTCCCCAAGCCCGGCCTGGGGCTAGACTTGACTTGTGAGAGTTTGGTCCACCAGGCTGTTGCTTGGAGCGGCCCACAGGCCCACATACCCACCACAGCCCGGTTGGTCTGGCACTCCTTGAAGGAAACAATCTAGTTTCCCCTTGAAGATGTCCACGTTCCTGTAATATTTCTGATGCTCGCTGGTAGGACATTGAACAACCGTGGACCTGTGATGTTCATACAGTGTTCTCTGATTGTGCCCATGGCACCTCTGCTCTTCACTGGTTCTATTCTGCATTTTCTTCCATGTCGTTCACCCCAGTACGTTGTTATTTTACTGTGCAGATTTGGGACCTGTCCCTCCAGTATTTTCCATGTGTATATTATTTGGTATCTCGTCTCCTTTCTAATGAGTACATTTGGAGAGCTTTGAGACAATCCCAATAATTTAGGTGCTTTATCTTGTCTATGCGTGCTGTATATGTTCTCTGTATTCCCTCAATTTCAGCAATCTCTCAATATTTCAGCAAGCAATAAGATATGTAGTCTTAAGGGTCTGGGTTCGATCCCCGGTGCTGGCCTAAACAAATGGTCAGTTTCTTTCACTCTGATGCCTCTGTTACCTAGCAGTAAATAGAAGGAAGTACTGTACCTGGGAGTTAGACAGCTGTTACAGGCTGCTTGCTGGGGGATGTGTGTATTTGTGTTTGTTTGTTTGTGTGTACTCATCTAATTGTACTCACCAAATTGTGCTTGCGGGGGTTGAACTTTGTCTCTTTGGTCCTGCCTCTCAACTGTCAATCAACTGGTGTACAGATTCCTGAGCCTACTGGGCTCTATCATATCTACATTTGAAACTGTGTATGGAGTCAGCCTCCACTACACCATTTCCTAGTGCATTCCACTAGGAATGCAAGTGGAATGCAATGCAAGCTGGCTACCATGGAAGAGAATTCTTGATACAGTAGCTGGAGTGAACTGTCAACAAAGAGAACTTGTGGCATAGGTTGCACGGAACACTAACATGAAGCAAAATAAACAAAACCATGCAATGGCTCGTGCACGGAGCATTCATTTCAGAGATCGCCAGCTCCATTTATTTGAAAGGTGAAATGTGACAGGTCCATAGAGCAGTGTGTCATACCTGTACCAGGGTTGTGAATGAGTTGGCTGGCTGACTGAAACAGAATTGCCTGGACCTGCCATCCGTTGGCAGGCAAGTACAGTTACGTGATGATTTTGCTGTGGAAGGGATTGTTTGCATAGTTTTCATTAGGATTACAAATTTTCCCAAGTAGTTAATTGTTTCAGAGCAGTTTGATTTTCTGGTTGGTCTTTTGCACAGTTTTGTGCTTATCTCTGATATCCACACGTTCCTTCATAACTGATTATGTCCTGGTTCTGGTCCTGGTGTCCCAGTAGGTGCTTCTGGGTCATAGATTCCTGGTGTGCTCCCTATGACTTGGTTCCTTCATGGCTTTAACATTGGGGAAGCTATTGTGACAACTCTACCAAAAAAGTTTAAGTAGATAGGGCTTGAGCAACCTAACAGTTTATGGTAAAAAGAGGGGCAATAATATTTTATAAAAGATAGTGTATATGGTCAAGATTTTCTTACTCTTGATACAAAGGGACGATAAAAATCCAAGACCCTTCTGATTTTTTTACCTTGCAAGTGTAGAAATTTCTGAAGGAAAATGTAGATAGTACAGAGTGTTTGCTATCTTTGAGTGATTGATAAATATAGGTGCAACAAAGAACTTGTGCAGGAAAAGCAGATGTGCTTGAGATATAATGCTTGAGAGATTTGGAGGAAGGCACCTATTTGATTTTGTGACATAAATTATTATATATTACAGGCACTACCACACCCACAATGGCTGAAGTTACACTTCCCTGGAAGCGACCAGAAGATGAAGAGATCTGTGACCGACCACGCCGTCAGTCTGAATTCCCTGCATGGGCATCCAATAAGGAATATGTTTGCTATTATTCTCCTTCTAATACTTTCCTTGGTAAATACTTTAATTTATTTTAACAAAATTTTAAATAGATTAATATTTTTGTTCATACTGTAAGTGAAATATGGTGTGTTGGAATTTTTTTATGAAGTTAACAAATTATAGTTTTCAATTCATTTATATAACATAGTATTGCTTTCATTCCATAGGTGGCATAGGAACTCATGACTCGTATCCAAATGTACGAGAAATTTTCGGAAGACGCAGCAGCAGCTCTTCATTATCTTCCCGTCGTGGATCTTTGAAAGATCCCCCTAATGTTCTCAGAGAGCGGTCTGCCTCGCGAGGTTCTGTCAAAGAGATAGCTCATCGGGGCTCTCTGAGTGAATGTACCTCACCCACATCACCTCTAAATCAGTCTGATATGTCTTTGCATACGCGTCGGCATTCCTATACAGGAGAACATTCCCTTCTTAATACTACAATTGCAGAAGAGGAAGGACGGCGGTGTGATACAGTAATTGAAATGAATCCTGATGGAGAACGGGAACAAACGCGAATGTAGTCTGTGCACTTGACAGACATACACAAATTTTTGTAACTGTCCTTATAAAGGTAAAATTAGTAAAACGTTTATCTTTTAGTGTTAAATGTAGACAAAGATTTTATGTTCTGATGTATTTTATTGGAATGTATAAGTTTACTGTATTCCAAGATAATGCCTACCTTGCCTAATGCCTATATTAAGTTTTGGGCACTACTTCTTAGGGCAAATGTATTATATTAGTTTTTGCAGTGCTATTTCCAGTAGTATACTGTATCCAGACCCTGGCAAGTGCTAGATATGGTGCCTAGTTTTTTCAATGGTCAGGCCAAATGTGCTGGTTACATTATGTTCCGTATCCAAATGGTGCAGCATCTTATAGGCTGGTATTGCATTTTGATCAGTGAACTAGACATGAGCCTTACTTTATAATTAAAATTGTCATTAGTCAAATATATAGGCCTAATGTCTTCATAAACATTATACTTCCTATGTAGCCTGCTGGCCAATGTACCTAAAATAGTTCATGGGTGACAATATTTTGATTACAGTAGATGTATTTGCATAATTTGTTTACAAATAATGATTACTGGTACTTTATTGCATTTTATACATTCTTATGCATTATAAATTGTAGCAAATGCAAAACATTAATTTTTTAAACCTCACCCTCAAAATTGTTAACATTATTTATACTTTGTTTCTTGCTCATATAAAAAGTTTTATTTAGTTGTCTGTATGGATGAGTTATCTATTGGCCAGTGTCCCCATAGTGGCTGTAGTAGGAACAGGAAGATTGTGGCTAAAATTGTGAAGGGGGATAAAAAGAATCAAACCAGAAGTCACCTTCTTTACCAGGATAGGACTGAAGGCTCAGCGGCAGACACTGTTTCAAACAAGGCACAATAGAGCTGATCATCAAGAAACGTGCAGGATATTGAACAGGTTCAATAAGTTAAACTCTAAACACGTTTTCAACATGTATAAGAGAATGTTTTCAAGAATGCTAAGGCACATTGTAGAATTGACGACAGGATATCCTTGTAAAGAGCAAGTTAAGAAGCAGTCTAAACTTTCCAAAGCAAGGACAATGCTAATTTAAAGCATACCTAGACAAAATCATTGGACAAAATAGGGGACCCTTCACAAGCCAGGTGCTTCTGTGTTTCCAACAAGGCCATTGGAGAGGGTGACCAACAGATAAATGCAGGTGAATTTTGTTTTAACGTTTTTAATAATCCATATCCCTTTTTATATTTTGCTCAAGATTAATACCACCTTGCATGCCGAGGCAACTGCTACTTGAAGTTGATGCTAATTTGACATTTTTGTGTTCAGATTTGAAGGAGTACTTAACTGCTGTATATATTATAGATTTATTAATATGTACTGTACACATTACAATACTTTCTCATTTCTGCCTTATATTTACAAATTGTAAAAGTAAAGCCTGTCTGAGACAGGCAGCCTTTTAGTCTTATCAAGGTTTCCCTAGTTAGGGAAGGAGGTTGTCCAAGTGGTCATCCATCCAGTGCCTACCTTAACCTGACTGATCGATATGTACGTCATCCACTGCACTCTACACACAGACTATGCTTGTATTTAAGCTATATTTTCATCTTTGTAATGCATTTCCTGTAAAATTAGATTATATTTTCAAGCTTTAAACGACTTTATATTTAATTTCTTCAGCTAAAAGATTCTGAAATGGTTTGAAGAAACATGCGTATTAATCTGGAGCATGGTGGGAAAAAGTGGCCAAATATTTAATGCATATATAAGATACTATGTATGAGATGCTGGGCTTTGCTTTACTCCCACACATGAGGCAATTTTTTACATAGTTACAGTATCTCTTGGCTGCTTTTGTGGCAGTATTATCAAATTTGTCCCCATGTGTGGTGATTATGCCAAGTTAATGTTTTGAAACCATTTCTTACCATTATGGTGGCAACCTGGGTGAGGCGTTAGCTAGTCCTAAGTGATTTTACTGCTAAACCACTTTGTGCTTTACTAATATTCCACAATGTTAAGAGACTAAATTAAGTCAACACTATAGAGGTACCAAAAGCTAGACATTCCATTGTAGAAAGACCCTTTGTCTTGTGTTTTAAGTTTTTATGTGTGCTTTTGCACACATAAAAATGTTTATTTATATATACACATATATATATTGATGAATACGTGTAGGGACATCTCGAGTGATCTGGTGTTATCATCACTGACATAAGATGAGTCTACTTGTATTTTATCCATTAAATGCAGGCAAGGTTTTGTTGAATATCTGTATTGATACAGATCAATGCAGATGATACTCACTTGGAAATAATCTTTGATGTACTGTAATATAAGATTATACATTTGTTTTTAAATTTTATCTTAAAATTGTTTTAAGTTGTATAAGTTTGAATGTTTAGTTAAAGTTGGATGATGCATTTGCAAAATACAATCAAATATTTATAATAACCATTCCCTTCTGTTGTAATTTACAGATTTCAGTTTAATATTTTTAACTGGTTATATTTGCCCATTTCTTAGATCTCATAATTGGGATTGCATGCCAGATATATTAATAATGATTATTTAATTATTCATTACATATTTGTCCACTATTTTCATTTTGTTACTGGCATTTTGACCCTAATATTTTTGCACTGTACTAATATCAGTGATATTTATGCAAATGATTGTACAGTACTAATTTTCTCCTAACACATTTATAATATAAAGTTTCTAGACAAAGTAATATGATTCAAAGTAACACTTTCAGCTAGTTAATAATGCATTAGATCGTGTTGTATATTGTACATAGATTCTTTGACTTGGTCATCACTGGATTTGATTGTTGTAAATATGCACAAAAATACTGTTGAAGCAATTTAAAGTTTGCTGATTCTTGTCCTGAAGCCCACTTGAGGTTTTTGGTTTAGTTTAATTTTTCGCTCAGACAGATCAGTACTCGGAACAGGCAGAGATAATGCTCTTGTGCTAACCTGTTAACCATGTTGAGCATCTTGCCTAATGTAATCAGTCCTGCATGGTTGGATGCCTTTTTTAAATATTAGATTATATCACTAACAACACTATTTGACCCGGCCAGGATTCGAACCAATGCCCATCAGGATTCAAACCCATACCGTCCAGGATCACCCCTAAACGTACACAGTACTGTGACCACCGGTACGCGGAAGGCATGGGTTTAAATCCTGGCCGGGTCAAATAGTTCCTAGTGATCTATGGCTTGCGCGTTCATGCAGCTTTTAAACATTAGATTATATATGTATATATATGTCAGAGCTCTTCAGATAACTAAATAAGAGACTCGTAGGAGTTGCCTTAGTGGTTTTGACAATGATCTGCTCAGGCATTATACTTGCAGGATTGTACAGTAAAGTATGCCTAGTTACTGCATAAAACAACTGAACTTAATAACCTGTGAATTATCTTCTACATGTTTCCAGCAATAACATATTATAGATACATACATTCAGATGTACATATATAGATACATATATATACTCATACATATATACATGCATACATACATTCACTATGTAGGTACATGTATGTACACACCACTATGTAGGTGTATGTATATATACAGTACATTCACTCACACTCACTCACACACTCGCACACATATACACACACCCGGGGCCAGGTAGCCTGATGGATAGCATGCAGGACACGTAATTCTCTGGCGTGGGTTCGATTCCCGCACCAGGCAGAAACAAATGGGCAAAGTTTCTTTCACCCTGAATGCCCCTGTTACCTAGCAGTAAATAGATACCTGGGAGTTAGTCAGCTGTCACGGGCTGCTTCCTGGAGTGTGTGTGTGGTGTGAAAAAAAAAGTAGTAAACAGTTGATTGACAGTTGAGAGGCGGGCCGAAAGAGCAAAGCTCAACCCCCGCAAACACTACTATGTGAATACACACACACTCACTCACACTCACACACTCATACTCACACACTCCTACTCACACACTCATACTCACACACTCATACTCACACACTCATACTCACACACTCATACTCACACACTCATACTCACACACTCTCACTCACACACTCTCACTCACACACACACTCACTCACTCTGGTGCACCATTTTCAAAGACAAGAACCCTATATGGCTTATTGGGTGCCCCTTAAAGCCATGGGCAAGACTATATGCATGGTCACTCATCCAGTTACTGGACAGATCCAGACAGATCCAGCAGTATGTAACCAGATCCAGCAGTATGTAACCAGATCCAGCAGTATGTAACCAGACTGATGAATTGACAAGCATGTCATACATACAGGGACATTACAGCTTGGACACTTTTTTTTTCCTGCTGTCAAAATAATTAAACTCATGAGAACAAGATACTGTAAAACTACTGTATATTGCATAAGCTTTTAGCAGTGTACATATAGTCTATATATATACGTACCAGCTTTGGCATTGTGTCACTTCTGATCTGTTCTTGGAATGTCTTCAGCATTACTACCAACAACTTCATCTGTGTGCAATTGCTTTGGTGCTGACTAATGCAAAGCTTTTATGGCCGATTAATTAATTATGTGTGAAAATTGGTCGTGGAACTTGGCCTTTCTGAGTGTGGATGCTGTACATAGTGTACGAGTTAAATTATTTATAGATTGAAATTTTAAAACTATGCAGTGAATATACTGTTTTATAATAGAAGTGTGTGTGTGTATATGTGTGAGAGAGAGAGAGAGAATGCATGAGCAATCAAAATTATATATTATATATATATATATATAATATGTATATTATATATATATAGAAATAAAACAGTATATACATAAATACAGTATAACAATTAATGTCAAACCTAATAACCAGAACTGTACTACTTTGTCTAATAGTCAGAGCATTTTTGCACTAATAATATTGGGATATTGACATGAATTTCTAACTTAGGCCAAGTTTTACCTATGGTAGGCAGTATTGAAAAATACTTTGCTAGGTTCTAACTTTTGATTCCAAAAAAGAAAAAAAAGGTCATGTATATAATAAAAGAAGTATAATTCAAAGAGGATTTGTTGACAAATTTAATGCTTAAAAGATAATTCAGCTTGGGCAATTCTGGATATTAGGTACAATATATATAATATATATATAACTATGAACATTTATGTACAATGGTGCAATGCTCTTTTGAGCTATATGGTTGGCAATTCTGGCAGATCTACCTAACACTTCTTAATATTTACACAAAATCAGGTGTGTACTGTTGATAGTTGCCATACCTTGTATAAACTATAAATAATATATACTTAACACATAGCAATAATTATTCCCATTACATAAAGAGGAGTTTAATTGCTAGCCTAGGGATGTTATGCAAGATTTCCAGTATTTTAGGGCAATGTTGTTTGGGACTACTAATGGTCTCTTAAATGGTCACAAATTGTTGTTATATTTGTTAGATCTTACTTTTATTTCAAGCAAATTTGCAAATTTTAAGGCTAAATATTAAAATGAGGCATTTCTTGTATCTCAAAACCATGCCTTAATTGATTGCAAAAAAGGGTAAAAGAATCTTCTTATGATTTGTATTGCTTGTTTGAAAATCTTGGTTTGGTGTAATATTTATAGCATGCTTTTAACTATGCACTACTTATGTTGGTGCTGTCAGTCTGCTGTTTCAGAAGGCTTACCTTGTGGTTACCTTCTGGCTTACCTTACCCAGAAGCTTTTAGCAAGTTGCCAAAATTCTGATGTTTAGTATCTGTTGTCCAACGGTTTGACTGTCAAATTTTTGTATGTGCCTGGCCCTGTCTTTAAGGAAGTAGACTGGGGTATAGACTTTATTATATCTTCCCATTTAAGGCCAAGTGCTTTCCCATTCAGTGGAAGTGGGAAAGTGGTGGTAGATGTGCTAATTGAACTTAAGGAACTTTTGACAAATCTTGGCAGTATGGGTTATAAGATCCAGAGGACTGGGATGTTTTCCTTCTCCACTTCTCAACTACCTTACTAACACCAGCCATCATACTTTAATATGGGAACCTAAGTTCTATATTATGACTTTACTAGTTGCAACCCTAATTCTTTAGACTAATTATCTAAATTTTATTGCAGTCAATCTTGTACACACTCCCTCATTACCTCAGTCATTCCTGTTTCATCCCCAATTTATTTTATCTTGACTTCTATCTATTTTCACTCCACTCTCTCCTTTCTACCTCCACTATCTCTTCCTTGTTTGTACCCAGCAGTTCCCTGTTTGATTACATCTCAATAACTCTATAACATTAACTTTCCAATCCATGTTTTACCTCAATTCTCCTTCCATTGGCCCGGCTTCCCTATTTTATCCCAGCCTTAACATACTCGTTGTGATACTGTTGCCACTGCATTGTGGGAGTCTATTTTTATATGACTGTAAATAGTAAATAAATATAAAGAAACAATCTACCTCTTTTTTTTTTAATTTTTTACCATCAGAATTTGGAAAACATAGAAATTTCTGTTCCTATTCATAAATTTTTGAATGTTTGTTTAAAGAAACTTGCTTATTCAGGATATTAAATTCATTAACACATGTTTTCAGTAAAATAATTTGGGAAAGATTATGTATATGCATTTTCCCCACCCATAAACCAATGGAAAAAAGGTATCTAGAATATATTTAAGTAATTATCAAATGAAGGCTCTAAGCTGGGGACACTTGTGTAGTACCATCAGTGTTCTTAGATATTCAAAAGGTGCTAAATATCACTTAGGAAGCCAATATGAGAACAAAAGCACACGAGTGATGTCGAAGGTATCAGATTCACCAAGGATTCTGTTTATAGATAAATGACCTTGTGGAACATTAGTGAAGCAAGACATGATTATCCTGAAAATCTCCACATTCTACAAGGAGATGCATGATGAAGTGGGACAATGCAGTTTGGACAATAAGGAGCTGGGTGGCATTCCATTAAGTGCCTGCGAGTTAAGAGTGTTTGGACAATATTTGACTCGGCCAGAACTATTTCCCACTGCCGATTATGGTGCTAGAATACGGCCAAGGGGACAGGCTACCTTTAAGGGCGTTCAATTTTTTAAAAATAGATTCCTGCCTTACAAACCTGCTCACATTTTTTTAAACGGTAATCAGATATTCAGATAAAGGCCTTTCAGTAGATGTAATATACATGGATTTTGTTAAAGCCTTTGATAAGGTACCACATGAAAGACTGGCAATTAAATTACAGGCGAATGGAAGAAATGGTAATATACTAGAGAGGATAAAATAATGGTTAAAACAAACGGAATAAAGGGCCATGCTAGATGGGGACGAATTTAGTTAGTTTAGTTCATTTATTATGCACCCCATACCCATCTTAGGGGACGAATTTGAATGGAGAAATGTGATAAATGGAGTGCCACAGAGGGTTCATTTTGGGGCTTACCCTTTTTGTCATATACATCAATGACATAGATGAGAATTTAGTTTATTATATTAACAAGTAGAATACGTATTTCTAATAATATCTAACATAACTAGCTAGAAAATATTTAAGACTTATTGAAAAATACTTTGTCTGGAAGTTAGATCGACTTCATAGAACAATAGTGTTGGTCTATACTAATCGTTATTCGTTAGTATGCGTTCGCTACTTAAAACATTTACTGTACTGATGTAAAATCTCCCATGTCTCTTCGCACATGGAACACCGAACCTTACACACTCTCTGATATATTGTTTAATTAATAGAGATTCACTAATAAAGCTTATAATTGTATATGTTATCAAAAAGGCATAGATAAAGTCGTTCTTACGTTTTAGTCACAGAGATTAGATATTAGTAAAGTAAAGTTCATTTTATTGAGGAAAGTACATAAATAGTCGATTTACAAACATAATATTGGATTTATAATAATAATAATAATAATTTTTATTTAGGTAAGGTACATACATAAAGAGATTTTACAAAGTTTGTTGGCTTTATAGATAGAGCTAGTACATACAATGCCTAGCCACTATTACGCAAAGCGTTTCGGGCAGAAATAGATATTTATAGATAGAGCTAGTACATACAATACCTAAAGCCACTAGTACGCATAGCGTTTCGGGCATATTATTGAGAGAGGAAAGATATTTATATTTAAACAATTTTTTTTTTTTTTTACCGACGCTCTCCCTATTGATGAGAACTACAACCTAATGAAGATAAATGTTAATTTTATGTAGATACTGTAATAAACGAAACTTTTTAATGTCATCAGAGAAGCAGAAATATAGGCAAATTTTAAATCCCATATCATAAATATAACTGAAGTGAAAGCAAAGATATATGCATTTTGATAGTTACAAAGACAGCTCTTTAACACGGGTGGAACACGAACAAGGGGAACTTAGTACCCAAATGAGCCACAGAGATATTAGAAAGAATTTTTTCAGTGTCAGAGTAGTTAACAAATGGAATGTATTAAGCAGTGATGTGGTGGAGGCTGACTCCATACACAATTTCAAATGTAGATGTGATAGAGCCCAATAGGCTCAGGAACCTTTACACCTGTTGATTGACGGTTGAGAGTCGGGACCAAAGAACCAAAGCTCAACCCCTGCAAGCACAAATTAGGTGAGTACAACTAGGTGAATACAGCTGAGGGGCGGGACCAAACAGCTGAAGCTCAATTCCCTACGCATAACTAGGCGAGTCCATAGGAATTACCGTTTGTCCTGGCGCCATCTATGTTTTGACAGCAGTACTACTAATGTTCCCACGTTATGTGATGATCGCTATACGGGTGTTATGGTCAGTTGCTCTTCTATATATGTTTATGGACAACGTAGGTGATTTGAGGCAATTTGCGG